TGCAAACAATATAGGCTTTTTTTAATGTTTTGGTAACATTAAGCCTATGTGGATGCTTCAGTAAGGATTAAAATTATCAATATTATGGCAGTTACCTGGTTCTAGTTGGACAGGTTTTTTTTCAATCAGCACAGTTCTTTTGTGTTTTTCCAGTCTTGTTTATGTTTTGTTCTTTAGTCACTTTCAGAAGTAACATTTTTTATTGAATATTAAATGTTTCTTATAAAAGTTATATTTTGGTTTCTTTTTTTTTTTTTGAGACAGAGTCTCACTTTGTTGCCCAGGCAGGAGTGAGTGCCATGGCGTCAGCCTAGCTCACAGCAACCTCAAACTCCAGAGCTCAAGCAATCCTCCTGCCTCAGCCTCCCGAGTAGCTGGGACTACAGGCATGCGCCACCATGCTCGGCTAATTTTTTCTATGTATATATATAGTTGGCCAATTAATTTCTTTCTATTTATAGTAAAGACGGGGTCTCGCTCTTGCTCAGGCTGGTTTCGAACTCCTGACCTCAAGCAATCCTCCCACCTCAGCCTCCCAGAGTGCTAGGATTACAGGTGTGAGCTCCCGGTCTAAAAGTTATATTTTGAAAGAAGCAAGTTTAGGTTCCTCTGTATATATAAAAAGAAAATGCTTTGTGTTCATTTTGTCTGTCCTTTTCTGGTGCAGTTAATGTATTTTAAATTACAGAATTTTTTAACTATTACACATCTAAATAGAGTCCCTAGGAACAGTCTAGTCTTTTGTCTAACAAGTTGTTTCCCCTCTCAAGCAGGTAATAGTTGCTATTGTTGATGTAGTCCTTTAGTTCAAGGTCACCATAAAGATCAGAAATAGAATAACATGAGGACTGTTACAAAAAGGAGGATTTCGCAGTTGAACCATGATTAACCAGAGCTCTTAATATCTTTTTTTCCCTTCTTTTTCAGCAGATACATTATAAAAGATAAACAGAATCAGGGATTTACTTGAAGTACAAAATACCTCAGGCGTGGGGGGTTTTGTGATGAGTGTATAGTAATTGTGTGGACTAACTTAGTTTTTTATAACTATATTAAACATATGAAAAATGACTGAAATTTAACAAGACTAATTTTTGTCGTGAAATATATCATCTGCACAAGAGTATGTAAAACCTATATGTAATAATTATAATAAAATTAAAAACACCCATATACTCAGCATCTAGATAAAGAAGTAGCGTATTGCCAGATCTCTTAGAGGCTCCCTTTGGGATAGGAGTAACCAAGATTGTGACTCTTGCTGTAATCATTCCCTTGCTTCTCTTTACAGTTTTGTCACTTATGTATGCATCTCTATTTTTGAATGCTATAGTATTAAGCCATACTGTATGTATTCTTTTGTGACTTGCTGCTTTCACCCTATAGTGGATTTCTGAGAGTTAATCTAAGATGATGTTTGTGAGTGTAATTCATTCATTTCCACTGCCTTTTGTATTCTGTGTATGAATATACCATAATTTATTTATACATTCCATTCTTGGACATTTGTGTTGTTTCATTTTCTAGCTGTTAAACAGTGCCACTATGGACATTTTTGTTCATGGCTCATGGTATAATGTGAAGGAAGCTCTGAAGGGTATACACATGGGAGTGGAATTGCTGGGTTGTACAGTATGGTGATGCCAAACTGATTTACAAAACACTTGCATGGGTTTATTCTCTCACTAGCAGTATGTAGGTATTCTTGTTGACAACTTTTGATATTTTCAGACTTAAATTTAGCCAATATGTTGGTTGGTGCAGTAATCTCATTGTGGTTTAAATTTGCATTTCACTGTTTACCAGCGAGTTTTGAGCATCTTCGTTTTTTTCTGTTCATATTTGCTCTTTTGTAAAGGATAGGTTGAGATCTTTTGCATTTTTTCTGTTGTGTTGTTTGTCTTTTTCTTAATATTTATAGTTTATATTTCCTGAATGGTTTCCTTTCTCACATGTGTTAGAAATAAGTCTTTCTGTTTATTTTCACTGTCTTTATGGTGCTTTTGAAATAGAGTTGAATTTATCTGTCTTTTCCTTTATGGTTTGTGCTTTTTATATCTTGTTTAAGAAAGCCTTTCCTGTTGTCACCATGAAGACTCTCCTATCTAAATGTTGTACAGTTTTGCCTCAAACATGTGGTTGTTTAATCTACTTGGAAAAAATTTGTTGTGTTTGGTATGATGAGGGAGTCTTATTTTTTCTCACACGGATATTCTGTTGTTCCAACACCATGTTTTTGACCGCTTAATTTCTTCTTCACTGATTTGAAACACTGCCTCTGTCATATATTGAGTTTTTACCCATAATGGGATCTTTTTCTGGATTGTCTCTTCTGTTCCATTGACCAATTTGTCTCTGTATTTGGTAATACCAGATCATCTTAATTATAAGACCTCATTCATTAAGTTTGGATATTAGATAAAGCAAGGCCCCACTTTCATTTTCTTCTTCAGTCTTGGCTGAAGTGTGTTGGGTGTCTTTGGTCATTTGCACTAACATGCATATTATAGAATCAACTTATCAAGTTCTCCAAAACACCTTTTGGGATATTGATTAGAATTACATTGAATCTGTTTATAGGGAAAATTGACATCTTTACAATATTGAATCTTTTAATCCATGAAAATGGTATCTCTCTGCATATCTTTATGTCTTTCATTAAAATTTTATAATTTTGTCATAAAAGCATTGGTGTCTTTTGTTAGACTTTTCTTGGTAATGTGTATTTTATGATACTATTGCAAATAATATCTTTTTGTTTTAGAATTTTCTAATTATTTGTTGGTGACATAGAAACGCTAGTTTTTTAAATATTTGCTAAACTCTCTAATTTTGTTAATCTCAGATTTTTTAATTTTTGTGTGTAAAATTATGTCATCTGTGAATAATGATTACAAACGCCCACCTCGGCCTCCCAGAGAGCTAGGATTACAGGCGTGAGCCACCACGCCTGGCCTCAGAAAGACTTTTTATAGATACTCTTTATCCGATTAAAGTTCTCTTCCCTACTTATGTTGCTTAAGAGTATTTAGTGTGAATAGATGCTGAATTTTATCAAATGTTTTTTCTCCATGAACTAACATCATATGATTTTACTATTTCAATCTATTAATGTGTTAAATAACATTAATTGCTTTTCTAATTTAAATCACCGTATTATTACTGGAATAAATCCCAACTTGGTCATGATGTTTTTCTTTTTTATTCCTGAGAAGACAGTTATTTTCTTTCAGAACATTGACGGTACTATTCTAATGTCTTCTGGCTGTCATCATTACTGATGTGAACTCAGCTCTCAATCCAACTGTTGCTCCTTTAAAAGTCTTTTCTCTTTGCTGCTTTCAAAATCTTTTCTTTGTCTTTTGTGTGTAGCAAGGGTTTAGGTGTGCATTTCTTTTCATTTATCTGGTTTGGAATTCATTGGGCTTTCTGAATCTCTACATGTTTCAGTATTGGATCTTTCGAAAGTTTTCTGCCTACAATTTTGATTTTGTCTATTGTTTAAACTTCTAGGCATTCTGGTAATTACATTATCAGAAGCCCCTATAGGGTTGCTTAGGCAATCTGTTGTCTCTGTAGGTTGTCCCTTACTGTGACTTGTTTCCTTAGGTTACTTGCTCATTATTATTAGAATTTTATTTGATTTTATTTATGAGGGGTTTTTTGCTGTTTGGGATGAAAATGAATATCCTGAGGTGGGGTAGGGGTTGTATTTGGTGCAGCCAGGAACCTGCTAGTCAAGGTTACTCTAATGACAATCTTGAGGTTTTTCTGAGAACTTGTCTTAGGTGCTGTTGATTTTATCTGCCAACTGGGTCCAGGGCTGGCTTCTGATTCCAAATTCTCTGTGATGCTTTTTGCCTCCCACCCCTTGGGGCCAGGTTTCAAATCATTTGATTTTCTTGTTGTCAACTGAGATAAGGTGGAAAGAGAGTGCCAGGGACAGGTTTATTTCTGGCTCACCATTATAGTAAAGTCTTAGCTGTTAGGTCAGAAGATCTATTTCTTCAGATGGGCCTGAGTTTTTTCTTTTATTCCCTAAAGAGGCCCATGGGGGTGGGGGGTGAAATAAAAACAAACAACTCAACATCACGTAGTGTGGTAGATGCTTTTGGGGCCAAAACTGTCTGCAGTGTTCTGCTCATCTCCTGTGTTTCTTGTTTTATTCAGATGTAAGAATTCCTTTCTTCCTTGCTCCTTGAGGCATATTTATTTATTTATTTTATCTAGCACTGTTAGTTTTCATTTGAAGAGTTAATTTGGTTACTTAGCGTGCTATATTAATGAAAGCCCAAGTCCAAGAGTGATATTTTAAAATAAGCTGAGGAATTTAAGTGAAGTGATAAAGACTGCAGAGTGTTTCTCGTGGTGCAGAATACTTTGCACAGTGTAGAACACTGGTCCCCAACCTTTTTGGCACCAGGGACCAGTTTCATGGAAGATAATTTTTCCATGGCCCAGAGGGGGTTGGTGGTTTGGGGATGATTCAAGCACATTATATTATTGTGCAGTCAAACCTCTTTGCTAATGATAATGTGTATTTGCAGCCACTCCCCCAGCACCAGCATCACTGCCTCAGCTCTACCTGAAATCATAAGGCATTAGATTCTCATAAGGAGCACACAACCTAGTGCACACACAGTTTACGGTAAGGTTTGCGCTCCTATGAGAATCTAATGCCACTGCTAATCTGGCAGGAGATGGAGCTTATGCTGTGATGTGAGTGATGGGGAGCGGCTGTAAATACTGATGAGGCTCTGCTAGCTTGCCGGCCACTCACCTCCTGCTGTGGAGCCTGCTTCCTAACTGGCCACAGATCAGTAACAGTCCATGGCCCCAGGGATTGGGGACCGCAGGTGTAAAATACGCACAGAATCCAAAAATGTGAGCTATTTTTACTTTTCTTTTTCTTTCTTTATGGCTTCCTCCTAGATTGCCTCTTTTGCTCCTTATTTGTCCTGGTTTGTGGCCCCAGGCCACACATGGGAGGTTGGGGGTACCTGTTACATAGTGATGAGTGGAGAGGAAGAGGTCTCAAAACTTTTTAACTTTCTACTCTGTGCTTATCACTGCTAGACATTCTCCTAACTCACTGAATCCTCACAACCCTGTAAGGTATTTACTCTTCCCCTTTTGCATATTAGAAAATGGAGGCTTAGGATAATAGGCTGAGTGACACTTGCCCAAGGCCACTCAGCTAACCCTGGACCTATTTGACCCCTACCACCTGGTTCCACTTCCCCTACCATCTGCATCTCTTTGGTGCAGGTTCTAGCTTGCTGAGGGGGAACACCTGCTTAGTTCTGGGGAACATGTATAGGGAACAGAGCAGCCTGAGTGAGCAAGCATGGGGCCCTCCTGGCTAACGGAATCCTTGGGTCCAGCTAGAGTACCATCTCTGGGCCTCTCTCCCTCTGCTTCCCTTGCTAACCCAGAACATGCTGATAGCTCTATCCTGTAGACAAATGCATTTCTTTCCTGTATGCCTGTGCAAGTCCGCTATGCATGCTAGTCAGCAGCCAGTGTTTGCTAGCAGTTTGCTTCAGTTCTGGGGCTCACTCTGGGTTTACTTATATTTTATATGTATACCTCATGTGTGGAAATGGCTGGCTTGGAATGGGAGCAGAGCTGTGGGGAAGATGCTCAGCAGCAATGGGAGGAGAAAAGGAGCTACAAGCCAGAAGCTGCAAGGGAATTCAGGGGTCATCTTTGCCATCCCCCTACCTCCTGACAGGACTGCACCTGAGGGAGAACAACATTTCAAAGGATAATACTGGACAATCTAGAGTATTCCTTGCAGCTTTGGGAGGTGAGCCCAGTGGGGATTAGCAAGCCCGTGTTGAAAGGAGAAAATCCGGTCTCTGGGTAGTGATGCAACACATTGATTTCTTTAGCCCTGATCTCCTGAATGTAGGCAGTAAAGATTGAGGCTTCATCTTGTCTCCCTGCTCCATATATTGAGAAGAAACATAGGCCCAGAGAGGGTTAAACTTGGCCAAGGTTACACAGTGAATCTGAGGTAGAACCAGGACCAGCATCTGGGCCTGCTGATCACCAGTCCTGAGCTCTCTCTGTCGCATCTCAGGGAGCTAGCTAAGAGAGAGAGATCTTCCCACCAGTCATCTGTCCCAAGTTAAGATGCCATAAACCACCTGAAGGCTCTTCCCATAACATTCTCCACAAATCTTGGTAACTGCCTACTTAGATCTCCCTAGATTCTTTCTAGCTGAGCTTTAACCCTTCCCCTCTGCTTCTCACTTTAAAGTAGATGGCTCCTCCACCTCTGTTGTTACACCAGGGCTTGACACATAGTAAATGCTCAGTAAACATTTACCCTATGAAGATATGAATGAATAGGGCAACATAGCAATATCCTGTAAGAGTGAAGATGAGCACACACCCTCAGACCTAGCAAGACCTCAGAGAAATGCTTACAGGTCAGTCCACTGGGAGACATGTACAAGGATGTTCATAGAAGCACTCTTTGTTATAATAAAATATGCAAATCTGTTCATGATTAGGATAACAGATAAATTATGGTATATTTATACAATGAGTTACCATATGGGAGTGAGAATAAATGGACTATGGCTCCGTGTGTTAACATAGATACATCGCAGAAGTGTGATGTGAAGTGATAAAGTAAGTTGCTAAGTGTATGCAGAGTACCATTAATACAAAGCTTTGAATATATCACAGGAAGGTGGCTACCTTAGGCAAGGGTAGGAGGGGAATCGGATCGGAGAGGGTACACAGAGGGCCCCAGCTGATGTGTTTCATTTCTGAAGCTGAGTGATGGGTGAAGGGGGTTCTTGCATGGTATCATACTTGATACCTTTGTGTATGTCTGACATATTTCATTATAAAAACAAATGGAAAGAATAATGACTCAATAAATGGATTAATTTTTTAAAAAAACTAAAAAGTCTTCTTTTTAGCTTCCATACTGTTCTGACCCACCTTATTAATTATCTTTAAACCACATATATCCTATGCTCTCTATATATTATAGCTCATAATAGGAAGTGTTTAAGGGGAGAATATGCAAAGAGAAAGTTGCACATTGCAAGGTAAGGAAACTATCTCCTAATTACAGAATTACTGGGTAACTTGAAATTTCCTCCTCAGTGACCTGTAACCACTGGTAGCTCCTCGGCCATGTATACCATTTCAGGAGACAGCAGCAGAGATAGGTGATTAGGATATATTCATTATTTATAACCAAAGATGAGGAAGACTTTGGTAATGATTTAGTGCTTCTATCCACCCATTCTTCAGAGTACATTATTTGCGTATTTAAATATAAAATAAATGAACGAATTGTTCGAAGAGTTATTTTAAGAAACCTGAAAGTAAATAGTAACATCTCTTTTAGCATTTTCCTTCCTGGGTTTTAATTCAAGATTTTTTTAAAAACAAACTAAGCATTATAAAAGTTTTAAGGATCAAATTTTAAATTTGCAATTTTTAAAAACATCTTTTTTACCAAAAGGGAAACAGCTTAGTGCTAAACAGTGTCTTTCTGGGTATGAATGATATTTTTGAAGACTTACCAGTTTTTAATTGTCCATTGTTTCCTAAACTGTATTTTTAATTTCATTTGCTCTCTCCTAGGGAATGAAGGATGGCAGCACGCCGTGCATTAAAAGCTGTTTTGGTAGATCTCAGTGGCACACTTCACATTGAAGATGCAGCTGTGCCAGGCTCACAGGAAGCTCTTAAAAGGCAAGCTATCCTCCAGGTTCAGCTGACAAATATGTTTGTAAGTGCCATTGTACCAAGGCAGATCATTAGCTAAATGGATAGCCTTAAGATGGCATTTCACCAGTTTGCCATATATACAGGAACTGCTTTGGGTTTAGCTAGAAGATGTATGCGTAGTAATATCCTGTGAACATTGTTCTCTAAGCCATTTCTAGGTTTGGCCTTTTGATCTAGTCTTTTTGTTCTTTGTGTATGTGTGTCTTAATTTCAAATCAGTAATGTAAATTTGGAAATGAATACTCAAGATTCTAAAATGTGGAATAAATGGCATTGGAAAAATCACAAGTGAATCCTGGAATCACAAAATGAAAAACGCACACACATACACACACACACACAGGCATAGTTCTGCCCTCTCCTGCTTCACCTAAGATCTAGCATTGAGTGTGCAACTGCTCAAAATTTAATGAAAGGACCTGAAATTTTAGAATTATTTCCATCAACAAATTTAATGCTTTAAAAGATTAGGGACTGCCTTCTACTTCTGATGCACTAACCACAGTACTGAACACATGTCTAGTTACAAACTGGGGATACACACTAAAAGCCTGTTAAAGTGAACTGAATGAATACTTGTTTCTGGGTGTCCTGAAAAAAAGTACTCAATCAACACAAGAGAAGTAATAACTGATGTTAAGCTTCTTTATCCTAAAATAATTTAGAGAAGTTTTGAAAAGCAGCTATACTTAGCATGTGGTACTTAACCATTGTCCAATCTTAAAATGTTCATGGTATACTGTTAATGAGAAAAATCTAGTGCTTGGTGTCATAGTGCCAGCTGTTGGGGCAGAAAACTGACACAGACCTTCCACTCTCAAGGAGCTTACCTTTATTTGGGACATCAAGAAATAAAGACTTGTATAGCTTGTAGACATCAGTCAGAAGCTATCAATTTAGTTAGGAGTCATATTCATTTTGTAGGTGAAGAAATGGTGGACAACATGTTGTTTAAAACCAAAAGAAAATCTGTTGCATAGTTGGATTTTCTCTTGACTCCTTAACATGGTCTCTCTCTGAGTTAGGCTTTCTAGAGGAAAGGACATCTGTTGATCAGTGTGTTCCTGTTAGAGCTTTTACTGCTTTAAAGATGAGCTTTCTAATCTGGATTGAAAGAAAAATCTTTTTATTTCTGGGAACGATGACATCTGTAAGTAGCTTTGTAAACTATGAGCCTGCTGTTCTGGAGGGGCAGGTGCCTACAGATTGTTCTGTTACTTGCACTGGCAGGTTCTCATCCCAGAGAAATCACTGTCCTAGAACTGCCTGCTTTGGTTTCTATAGAAACAAATAGACTAAGGGAAGTTGAGGGACCAGTAAAACGAAAAGTTTTTTTTTAAAAAAACTCATTAAAAATTATGTGATTATTTCACTACTTGTTCATTTTTAGGGTAATAGTTATGTTGAAGTAATCAATTTCTTTAAAGAAATAAACCTCTAAATTTAATGTTTTGTAGAAAAGCAACCACACATATTATAGAGGTAATCATGGTTACAGTGAATTATTTAATTATATAAATTTACTTAATGTTCTTTGGGTGAATACTTAAAAATCTCTTTTCTGTTTTATTTGCTTGCTTGTTTTAAATTGTGGTTAGTGCTTTTGTGCCTTGTGGCGTTTGGGTGCAAGCATAAAGTAAAAGCACCAGGATATTAATATAAAATTTTATATTTAGCTAAATTTAAATTATTTTTAAACTTTGGATTAAAACACTAGGACCAAGAAAATAATTTTCATTTTTAAAGAAGGCTAGACTATCATGAATTCTCTCTCTGATACCTGATTGCCAGTTTAGGTTTCAAAAGTAGATCATAGAATCAAATCAATCATGTATGTAAGTAGCTTGAAGGAAAAACACATTTTGACTATCAAAATGTAATGTTTCTTTGAGCTGTCCAGATAGTTTCTATTTATACATTTACTAACAAATTAGGGCTCAGCCAGTTCTCTAAGAACATCCTGATGTTTGTTCTGTTTTCTTAGTAAAGGAGATCAAACACTACCAGGACACAGAGGAACAGAATTCTTGTCTCAACTCTACTGCTACCCAGCTGTGTAAGGCTGGGCAAGTCACTTACCTCTTCCGGGCCTCAATTTTCTCACCTTTAAGAAGAGGATTGCACCAATATATAATGTCTAAGATAACGTTCACCTCTCATATTCTGTTAGTGGTTACTAGGCTTTGTTTTTTACTTCTTTACTAAACTCTGCAGAAAATGCAGTTAAAGTATAGAAGGCCCTCAAAACAGGTAAACATAGCTTTTATAGTTTTATTTTGCCCCCTTTGGAAGTGAAGCTTCCTATATTGTGTAGATGATTTTTAAGTAATTCTAGATAGTTTTATTTTTTAAGCCTTTTGGCCATAGAAACATTTGGTGACTTATTCATTTCTACCAAATTAGGAAGTGTTACAGGGCTAGAAGGTAAAAGCTACCTATTGACTTTTGAATTCTATGTTTTCCAGGTTGCGTGGTACTTCTGTAATAGTTAGGTTTGTGACCAATACAACTAAAGAGAGCAAGCAAGACCTGTTGGAAAGGTTGAGAAAATTGGAGTTTGATATCTCTGAAGATGAAATATTCACATCTCTGACTGCAGCCAGAAGTTTAGTAGAACAGAAACAAGTCAGACCCATGCTGCTGGTTGATGATCGGGCACTACCTGATTTCAAAGGTGGGGGACATTTGAAAAGATTTAATAGTTGGATCTTCATATCTCCGTGTAAATCATTCTCAAAACTGGATGTTTAGGGGTATTTATTTTGATTTCTCCATGTTATTGAAATGGTTGACAATACTGATAGAATTTCTGCCTAAATTGGTGTTTCTCAAATCTTTTTTGACTGCAGTCCACAATAAGTGAAACTGTGCACATATATATGCAAGTTTATATATGTTAAACAATACCGTATAAGATGTATACTATTTTCTATTTGATTTATTTGATTGTTTGATTTTGATGCTGCTTAGAGTCCTCCAAATTAGTTTTACAATCTACTAATGGATCGTGACCCATGGTTTGAAAAAAATAGATCAAAATTACTTTGAGTATTATAATCCTCAATCTAGAAGCCGCTGTATTAACTTGCTTAAATGAGATAAACCAAGATCTCCTTGTTTAAAAATAGATGTCATTCTAGATAGTGTGAAGTTTTTACACCGAACATGAAATACGTTTCAATCAAGAGAAAGTAAAATTGTTTTCTCTTTGGAAAAATCAACAGATTCTGGAAAAATATTACAGTTTTATGAAGCTGTGCCACATTGCTTTTTTTAATAGATGCTACTCAGTGAAATGACACAATATAGAAAAATGAATATAAGTACATTCATTATAAAACCATGTGATGGCTTTATAAATAGAGAGTTCAGCATGGGTATACAGTAGGGCAGGACCTCAAAACTTGTACTAATAGGAAATATATCAGTATATCAATTAGAATTATTATTTATAAGAAACAGAAACCACCTTGGGATGAATTAAACAGAAAATAAATTTATTAAAAGGATCTGAATGTTGACAGAAATACAAATACACAGTGCCTATGCAGAGGAGTTTAGGTGTAGCTAACAAAATTATATATGAAGGAGCACTTGTAAGAATCTATCTCTAAAATATAGTTACAAAAATACACAATGACACATGAACAAGGTCATTCATTATGGCCTTATTTGTAATAACAAAAGACTGAAAACAACTTTGAGGATGTTAAGATTCTGGCTGTTTCAGCAGTGAGCTGGAGTTGGGTATGTAAGTAGAGACCCTGGTCTGGAAGAAATCTTTGCCATTCAATCTAGGACTATGTTTGCAACATATTTATATATAAGAAAATGCCCAAGGTAAATAGGTGTTTTTGAAGGGAATGGAAATATCTTTGCTAATATTGAAATTCTTTGCTAGTGGTAGATGGATATGATATAAAGAATTAACACAAAATAACTTCAGCTCTTAGTGTAACCAGCAATTTTATTTTCTTCTTTCAACAAACCTTAACCAATTACTCATTACTGTGGCTACTGGTAAGGAGGAAATTGGAAAGCTTGGACATCTGCAATGAGAGAGGCAAATAGGAATTGGCATGGAGATAATCCATGGAACTTTTAATCAGACTTTTAGTAACCGTAATGGTGAATGTACTTATTTGGTTATCATATCTGAAGTCCACTTATAAGATGCCAAAGCCTTAAAACATGCTGTGATTATAAAATAATATTTGTGAACCTAAAAGTAGATCAAGCATCATGTAGAAAACTGTAGAATCTGCAGTTTATTTCATACTTACCATGAATGTGTTAACCTCAATTGTCAATTAGAAAGTCTAATTTCCCTTGCCTCTTAGATTCTCCGTCTCTCATCAGTTGCTATCGATCTGTTCTTGTTGATTGTAATCAGTAAAGCATTTAGAAGTCAGAAATTGGTACTTTTGAGAACATCAAGTTACAATTTTCAATTCAGATCTTCTAGTTACTGAGTAGCTGTAAGAACATGCATGGGAATATGGAAAAATATTAGATTTTCTCTTTCCCCCTACTGCTGTATCTCTCTTTCTCGTATACTTCCAAAGTACACTGGGCAAGATAATCTCTTAAATTTTAGATTACAGCTATAGCAAATATTTGCACTTGATTGACTAAAACTACTTTGTTATAAAATGTGACGTTGCTTTTAATTGCATTTTTCAACAATTATATATTTTTTTCTATCCTCAGGAATACAAACAAGTGATCCTAATGCTGTGGTCGTAGGATTGGCTCCAGAACATTTTCATTATGAAATTCTGAATCAAGCATTCCGGTAAATCTAGCTATTTATTTTTCATCTCATCATATACTTTCCTTCCCTTCCTTGGTCTTTGTCATGTAAGGTTTTGTGTGTTTTACTTTCTGGCTACCCAGATTGTATATGGGGATAGCCATCTTCAAGATCACTTCAAGATCAACGTCAAATAATATTTATTACTATTTTGCCATTTTTTTGGTAGTGATCACTATATTAAATGTGATGATCATTGAGAATTTTCTAGTTTATAGAAGCAATATTCTGGAGCAACAATCCATAAGAAATAGCACCTCTTAAAGCTAGTAGTTTTATCTTTTATCATTACTCCTGTGCTTCTCCACTGACTATGCTAATCTCTGAAGGAAAATAGCATCCAGGCTAATCCACCAAAAACAATAAATGTGATTCTCCCTCCAGTGAGAATCCAGGCTATGGGAAAAAGTTGGCACATTTGACCATGCTTTCACAGAAGTTACTGGATGAGGGATAATAATGGTCAGAACTGAAATAGTGGCAGTAGGGATGAAGAAAAATAGATTTAGGTAGCATCAACATGACTTGCTGGATAACTGGGTTCAGGAGGTGAAGAGGAAAAGTGAGTCAAGAGAACATCCAGATTTCTAACCTAAGCAAATGAGACAGAACACTCCTTTGGGGGTTTAAGAGGTCATGAGTTTAGGTTAGGGATGTTTGGCCTGTGGGGTATCCAAGTGGAGATGTACCAGATGGCTGTCAGTAGAAATATAGCTAATGCATAAGATGTTATGAATCTTCAGTTTGTGCATTTCCCTTACATGAACTTTTTGCTGCTGCTTCTAAAAGGAAGACTGCATACTTGTTCTCATACTTCCTGAGATAAATTGGACCAGAATGTACCTGCAGATCTGCTCTAGAGTAAGATTGTTGCTTTTTCTTTTGGATATTTCATTTTTCATATCTTGTTTTTTCTTTATTGTCAAACTACTAAACAGTATAATTTACCATTGAATTTATGACAAGTAAATAGTTCAGAATGTTGCATAGAGATATATTGAACTGGCATTTTTTGAAAAAAAAAATGATTGTTTTTAATATGCTGGTAAATTTTTTGCATTTAACTGCAAGAATGCTATTTTAAAAAATCATTTTCTTACCAGTGCAAGGATCTGTAATAACTATTCTCTTATACTTTATATAGAGTTCATTTCTTGATATATATATTTCAGGATCAGAATGTTTGTGGGAAACCTTAAAACTCACTGCCATTTTCACGCATGAGCACATTATGTGCTGTTGATCTTGAAAATGGTTGTCCTCATGTAAAATCTATCTGGCCCAGAAATAGCACTTTGACAACAGCCACCTATTACCCTATGTGCACATTAATTTTAGATCCTTGGTTGATGGAAACCACAACTACTTAAAGCGCTTTTATTTGTGACTCAGGCACTGTGATAGTCAAGCCTTTGTTTGAAAGGAGCAAACTCACTTTTTATAGTTGCTCAGTATATGTTTACTGTAGTATTTCTAGGACATCCACTGCTATGCCAGATTGCTTAAAGAGGTACTTCACTGTAGACGGTATCAAAATTTCTTTTGCTTCACCTCTTCAATTCCTACGTTAGCTTCTTGGGGTGGGGAAGGTAGTTGGAGTATCCCATCTGCTCCTTACATAAAGCCTACAACTACCAAAATCAGTTTTCATTTGAAATAGAGAAACTGGTGTTATTTTTTATTTCCGCATTTACCCCTACTACCTTTTACTCATTTCTTTAACCACTGAATTCAAGGAGAAGGTATTGATTGATTTCAGCTGGTAATTTGGGAAGGACATATTTAATAGGAAGTTGAGAAGTCTCTGTCTTAGATGAATACTAGACTCGGGGTAATAAAAATGTATGTTGACATAACACTGACTTTGTAATTGCTCGGATGCTGTCTAATTAGTACACTTTCCTAACCATATTGATTTTTTTTAAACATTACATTTTACAGCATTACAGTGCACTTATAGGTCAACTCTAATTTCACAAATGCACTTAACAGCTGGGTGGAGAGTTAACAGAAGGATTTTAGGTCTTGTCCTTCTTTGCATATTGATGTTTCCACAGAGACTGTGCCTTCCAACCAATGACTGCAGATGTTTGGATTGTGTGTGGCAAATATAGACATCTCAAATGAACCACCAATTAGTTAAATTACTGTTTAGTTGATAATGAGAATAAACATCAGATTGTAAAGCCCATTCCATAGCTAGCTGCCTTGAATGCCAGCTTCAGGGGCATGTTGCATCAAAGCAGATACATCAACCTTCACATTATACTGCCTCTTATTTACTGTGCTTTTAATGAGTATGTTTCCCAAAAATGCATAGTACAGTCTTTCTACAAATATATTTTAAGTCCTGAATGGAATTGTGAATGGATTTTAAAGAATTAATTTTGGAGAAAGATATGAATCAGTTATAGAGAATAAATACATGATTTTGTTATGAATCCTATAAAACATTCAAATCTTGAGAGCCATTGGTAGCTTTTTTCCTTTTATCGAATATTAAAGATATAAAGAGAAATATAATGAACCCTTATATGCCTATTAACCATTTTAAGAAATTGAAATTATCAATGTGTTTGATATCTCTTACGGATTCCTCCCTGATTTTATCACCCAGAGCCCATAGGTAATCAGGATTATGAATAGTGTTTATCATTTTCATGTATTTCATTATATTTTAACATATATGTAGATATCCCTAAACAATATGTAGTGTTACTTTTACATGTTTTATACTGTATGTATTCAATTTCCTTTCTTCCCTAGTAATATTGTATGATTCATCAGTGAATATCCATAGCTCTAGTTCATTGATTTTCATAGCTGTATTGTTACTTTGTAGTAAGGTTTTTTTCATCTTCATACCTGAGTTAGAAACTCAAAGTCTGAACATTTAAGTAATGGACCAATTATAATTAAATTTGACAATCACTTTTAGGAAGAAAATTACCTGGACAAATAGATTATTTAATAATCTAATCTGAACTTAGTATTAACAAGACTAAAAAATATCTAATCACAAAATCAATTTCTTCATTGTAGAAAATTTAAATGTGTAAGAAAGAATTTACAATGTCCTGCCACCTAAAGAGAACCACAGTTAATATTTTAGCAATAGCTATTTTCTTTGTTTCTATGCACATACATGTTTATATAAAAATGAGAATATATATATACTATGAAGTAACATACTTTTTATGACCCAACAATATATTTTGCATGCTTTTCTATATTTTTAAATATTATTCTAAAATGTGTGATTACTATAACATATTCCATTTTAAGCAGCACAATAAATTGCTTTGCCACAAGTTTCCTATTGTTGGTTACTTCCAGGTTTTTGAAGTTAGTTTTTAAAAACTTCCTGAAAACGTATTTGTTGAGTAGTATTTATGATTTTCCTTACAATTTTTTTTTTTTCAGATGTATAGTTGCTGGTCAAAAGAATTTTGGAAAAAAACTGCATAGAATTGTTTAACCTAGGAAAAGTCTGAGTTTTTCCCAAACCTAAATTAAGAGCAGCTGCTCTCCAGGAACTTATTAAAATGTCATTATACCTGAAGATAAATGGCATCGCAACTTTAACATTTAAATGTTTAGGTGAAGGTGGTTTAAGAATAATGTTTTGAAGCTTTGTTAACACCATCCTTCCTATTATTGTTATGGGGCTGGGAGTGTTCCATTAGTCTTCAAGATGTGCAGAAATTGAATGGTTTTTGTCGAATATTGCATTGATTGCTTTCCCCCATTTCCTTCTTAACAAAAAATAATAAATTTAGGTTTTTTCTTTTTTTATTATTTTAATTTCTTCTTTCTTTTCCTCCCTAGTAATCCTTTAAACAAGTTTAATTAACTTAAGTATATTCAATTTCTTCATAAAGAAAGAAGAGAAAGGGAGGGAAAAATCAGCAATAATGGCCTCAGTTGTTACTAAAGCAGGAAAGAGTTTGACTTTTGTTTAGGAAATAGGAGCAGAGTATTGTGGCTGGAGAACAGTTAATGAGATTGAAGATGGGGGGTTGGGAGTAGATAAAGCAAGGCCTTTTAGGCTAGGTAAGGACTTAGGAATTTAAACTGTTTGCAGGGACAAGCAGTTCAAGGGTTTTGAGCAGGGAAGAGACGTGATCCTGTCTGCACTTTTAAAAACTACCACTACTGCCTGTACAATGAATTGCAATAGTAGAGCAAGAGTAGAATGGAGGAAGACCAGTTGGAAGACTATTGTAGAAGTTCAGGTGAGAGTAAGACTGTTTCAAGATATTTTTGTTTTGGAATTGGAAATTACTAGATTTGCTAAAGAATAGGAATGTGGAGGTAGTAAGGGAATGCAAGAAATCCAGGATGACTGCTAGGATTCTGGCTTGAGTAATTGGGAGAAATTATTATGATGCGAAGGATTGAGGGAGGAACACTTTTGAGATTGGGGTAAGAAGGACTTGCCAGTTTGGTATTAGACATACAAGAGGTGCCTGACATTACTTAAGCTGCAGTGTAATTAATTTCATTTCTCCATGTTCATCTTCAGGGGAAATAGTAAAAAGTTGATTACTTCCTTAGAGAGGTTAAGTTATTTAAAAAGGCAGCATAGAGTATAGGCATACCTCATTGTGTTTCACTTTATTGCACTTTGCAGATACTGCGTTTTTTACAAATTTAAGGTTTGCAGCAACCCTATGTCGAGAAAGTCTATCAGTACTATTTTTCCAGTAGCATGAGCTCACTTTGTGTCTCTGTGTCACATTTTGGTAATCCTCAGCAATATTTCAAACTTTTTTATTATTATATCTGTTATGGCAATTTGTGATCAGTGATCTTTGGTGTTACTATTGTAATTGTTTTGGGGAGCCACAAGTTACACCCAAATAAGATAGCAAACTTAAATATTGTATGTGTTCTGACTGCTCCACCATCCAGCTGTTTCTTTGGAAGAGTTGCATGGCTCTCGCTTTAAATCAAAAGCTAGAAATGATTAAGCTTGGTGAAAAAGGCGTGTCCAAAGCCAAGATAGTCCCAAAGCTAGGCCTCTTGTGCCAAACATCCAGGTTGTGAATGCAAAGACAAATTCTTAAAGGAAATTAAAAATGTGATTCCAGTGAACACACAAATAATAAGAAAGCGAAACAGTCTTATTGCTCATATGGAAAAAGTTTTGGTGGTCTAGATAAACCATCAAACCAGCCACGGCATTTCCTTAAGCCAAAGCCTAACTTTCTTCAATTCTATGAAGAATAGGAGAGATGAGGACACTGCAGAAGAAACGTTTGAAGCTAGCAGAGGATGGTATGAGGTTTAAAGAAAGAAGCTATCTTCATAAACTTGCATAAAAGTGCAAGGTAAAAGAGCAAGTGCTGATGTAGAAGCTGCAGCGAGTTCTCCAGAAGATCTAGCTAAGCTAATTAATGCAGGTACCTACACGAAACAACAGATCTTTAGTGTAAATGAAACAGCCTACTATTGGAACAAGGTGCCACCTGAGACTTTCATAGCTACAGAGAAGTCAGTGCCTGGCTTCAGAACTGCAAAGGACAGGCTGGTAACTTTAAGTGTCTAATGCAGCTGGTAACTTTAAGTTGAAGCCTGTGCTCATTTGCTATTCCAAAAATCCTGGGGCCCTTAAGAATTAGGTTAAATCTACTCTGCCTGTTCTGTAGAAATGAAACAAAGCTTAGATGACAGCACATCTACTTAAAGCATGGTTTGCTGAATATTCTCAGCCCACTGTTAATACCTGTTGCTCAAAAAAACAATTCCTTTCAAAATATTACTGTTCATTGACGGTGCACCTGGTTACTCAAGAGCTCTGATGGACATGTCCAAGGAGATTAATGTTGTTTTCATGCCTGCTAACACAACATCCATTCTGCTACTCATGGATCAAGGAGTCATTTCACCTTTCAAAGTCTTATTATTTAAGAAATATATTTCGTAATGCTATAGCTGCCTTAGATAGTAATTCCTCTGATGGATCAGGGAAAACTAAATTGAGAACCTTCTGTAAAGGGTTCACCATTCTAGATGCCATTAAGAACATTCATGATTCATGAGAGGAGGTCAAAATATCAACATTAACAGGAGTTTGGAAGAAGTTGATTCCAACCATCCTAGATGACCTTGTGGGACTTAAGACTTCAATGGAGGAAGTAACTGCAGATAGGGTGGAAATAGCAAGAGAACTAGAAATAGAAATAGAGCCTGAAAATGTGAGTGAATTGCTGCAGTCTCATGATAAAAGTTAAATGTTTGAGGATTTGCTTCATGTGAATGAGCAAAGAAAGTGGTTTCTTGAGATGGAACCTACTCCTGGAAGATACTGTGGACATTGTTGAAATGACAACAAAAAATTTAAAATATCACATAAACTTAGTTGATTAAGCAGAAGCAGGGCTTGAGAGGATCGACTCTAATTTTGAAGGAAGTTCTGCTCTGGATAAAGAGCTATCAAATAGCACCACATGCTACGGAGATCTTTTGTGAAAGGAGTCGTCAATTAATGTAGCAACTTCATGATTGTCCTATCTTCAGAAGTTGCCCCAGCCCCCAATCTTCAGCAGCCACCATCCTGATCAGTCACCAGCCATCAACAGCAAGCCAAGACCCTCCACCAGCAAAAAGATTACAACTTGCTGAAGGCTCAGATGATCGTTAGCATTTTTTAGCAATAAAGTATTTTTTAATTAAGGTATGGACTTTTTTTTAGGCATAATACTATTACACACTTAATAGACTACAATATAGTGTAAACATAACTTTTATATGTGTTGGAAAACCAAAAGATTTGTGTGACTTGCTCTGTTGTGGTACTCTGTTGCAGTGGTCTTGAACGAAACCTGCAGTATCTCAGAGGTGGGCCTGTATGTAGAAGAGAACGCTAGATTGGTTTTCAGAAGTTCCAGGTTCCGACACCAGTTCTGTGATTTCACCCAACATCTCTGGATGATTTCCTCCTCTGTAAAATGGGGCATATTGGACTCGATGTTCCTTTAGGTCTCTTTCAATAATATTCTGTGGCTCTGAATTTAAATTATCATCCCCTTAGCTTTCTCTCACTGCTCTGCCTGAGATTTTATATGGCTCCCTGGGTAGGATGTTTTACAGATTTTTCCTTCACCTGCATGGAATTTACAGCCAGAGGTTTTGGTATCAGGCTGCCTTTGTGCCTTTTCTCCTCACTTTTTATACCTCAGTGGGCTTATAGTTAGAAAAGTTTTAGATTGTCTGCTGATGCATTATTCCTGGTATCAAAAACAGCTATCTTAGTCCATTTTGTGGTATTAGAACAGAATATCTGAGACTGAGTAATTTATGAAGAACAGAGATTCAGTTCTTATACATCTGGGGTCTGGGAAGTCCAAGGTCAAGGGGCCCCACATTTAGTGATGACCTTCTTGCTGCATCATCCCTGGCGGAAGGGCAAGAGAGCATGCAAATGAGAGAGGGAAGGGGTCAAACTCATCCTTTTGATCAGGAACTTACTCCTGTAATAACTAACCCACTTCCTCGATAGAGCATTAATCAATTCATGAGGGCAGAGTCCTCATGACCTAATCACCTCTTAAATGTCCCACACTCTCAATCCTGTTGCATTGAGGATTAAGTTCCCAACACATGAATTTTGGGGGACACAGTAACAACCAACCTATCTAATAATTATAAAAATACTCCAGGTATCAGGGTGTCTATTTTTAATATTTAAAAAATGTTTGATTATAAAAGATATTTTATTCTGTGTCCTATAAAACATTTACATCTCAGTCTATCATGAATATGCCTTGGCTCGTCAGAGGATTCAGTAAAGCTTATGCTATGCAGAGAAGAACGGTAGAAGCAGGAACCATTTCCCTGAGAGAAGCATATCTTCTCCAGTCTAGTGTAGAACCAGATCCCATTTAGAGAAATGTGGAGGAACCCACAGTTTCAGCTCTTCCAGGGAAGGCACTAAAGTACTGCCTGGGAATTAAGTATGCACATCAATCAAGCTGGTAAGTCTTATCTCCAGTTAATATATAATAAAATATTAACAAAGCTAAATCAAATGAGTTTTTAGTTTAGCAGTATAAGTGGAAAGCAATTTTGAGGTCTGTTGCATAAAGAATTTCAGTTCCGTGGTAGAGTAACAAATAAATGGGCTTGGGGGTGGGGTGGCAGGAGGGCAGATAGAGAAATTGAGTTGTCTCATTGCTGTCAGCTATAGGTTTTTAAGGCCAGCAGAGTGGCTTTGCCAGGTTTCCTAACAGTTGAATTTCAAGATCTGCTTTATGAAATAAATTTCTATTAGTAAATAAATTTGAAGGATCTGTCCTGTGCTGTGAGCAATATGTAGTAACTAACAGTAAGGCCCTATAATAGTCCAGTATTGGTTTTTTCTTAATAAAATATTTAATCATAAATGTCTGAATTCTGCATCTCCCATAGGAAGGCAATTCCATGCCCATTGACAAGAATAATTTAGCAGTTTCATAGCTGAGCACTTAAATTACTCATAATTGTGAAGGATAAGATGTGATGAATTCTTCCTCAATGGACATACTGAATATTTTAACCAAGTAGATGACTTAAAGTAAATTAAGCTAGTGAGGCATTACATTGGTTAAAAACAGTTTAAGAAATATGTCATGTCCTGTATGCCATTAGATGGTAATATATGTGTGAGTACTTCTGCCATGTGACTAAAGGGTGCATTATTGGGATGATAACATACGTTTTGAGATGGATATTGGGAGGTGAATATTAAATTTGTGTGAGGATTTTTCTATTTGTTTTGTTTCGCCTGTCTATAATGAGGATCCTTAGCTGTATATATCATTTGCTTAGCAAACTAATGGGGAGAACTCTTTATGCCCTTTTGTTCAGTGGGAGAGTGTAGTTTGTCCTGTATCAGGACAAAGGAAAGGGACTTGACAGTGAAAGCTCTCCTTAAACCTTGTTAGTGTGTTCTTTAGGGAAGATGGCCTGATTTGCAAAGTAATGTTAAAAGCAGTCAAAAGGTAGAATAAAGAGATAAAAGTATACGCAGAAACTCTTTGTAAAATGCTCTATTAAATTTCTGAATTGAAAAGGAACTTACATTTTGTAGTAGAGGAAACAGGAATTCAAATATTTTAGGAGTTAACATGTCACTGCAGCAACAATTGTGTAGTATTGAAAAAAGCTCAAGAGCCTCCTGCCTACCATTAGGGAAGGTTGAAACAACTTGTCTCATTAAGTTAAGCTTCTTCCCTTGAGTGTCTTATTTAGCATTAGTTCTCTTAATTCTCTTTCTCTGGTGATTTGGGTAAAATGTCTGAAACCACTAAAGGTAAAAGGTTGAAGCAATCCCAAATTTAATAATCTATCACCTTTCTTTAGTGTATCTGAGTGTAATTCCCAGCAGTTCTTTGTGAATTCATTAGAAGACATCAAGTCATTAAAAGTTAATAAGAAACTGTTTGTTTCTGTGAGTGTGAATAAAACCTCTTTGTAAATCTGACATTCTTTCCCCATCATAAAAGCCTTGCTTTTAGCCAGTTTCCATTTTCTTGGTCTCTCTAGGTTACTCCTGGATGGGGCACCTCTGATAGCAATCCACAAGGCCAGGTATTACAAGAGGAAAGATGGCTTAGCCCTGGGGCCTGGACCATTTGTGACTGCTTTAGAGTATGCCACAGACACCAAAGCCACAGTGGTGGGAAAGCCAGAGAGGACATTCTTTTTGGAAGCATTGCGGGGAACTGGCTGTGAACCTGAGGAGGCCGTCATGATAGGAGATGTAAGTAGAAGAGCCCAGGAGGCGCTCTGAGCTCAGCTGTCATGATGGAAGAACCAGCTTTAAGGCACTGCTGTAGGGAGGCAGACCTTCTGTTACTGATAATATAGACAGTATAAATGGCTACCTATAAAATGGGCTTTCCTATAGATGGTAGTGGTATTTTTCTAAAGAATTGAAATTTTTATTATTTCTCACATTTCTACATAGTGTCATTTTATATATATTATATATATATATATTTAAATATGAAATGTCTGATTTTGAATCAAAAGTTTAGTTTATTATATCTCAAACAAGAAGCAGTACAGTTGATGAAAGTATGCACCTAAATGTCAACACAGTTTATGCCAGCAGCGGAGAAGCCTGGAGAGCAAGTGGCAGTGAAATCACGAAAGACGTTTTCCACAGCATGTTGGGAATGGAATATTTTTCCTTGCAAGAAGAGGTCCAAAGCCTGGAAGAAGTGGTAGTCTGTTGGTACAAGGTCTGGTGAATATGGTGGATGACAGAGAGTTTCCAAGTCCAGTCTCTGTAGTTTGAGCAGTGTTGTTTGTGTGACATGTGGTTGAGCATTGTCTTGCAAGAGCATTGGCCTGTCTCTGTTGACCAGTCCCAGCTGCTTAATTACAAGCATCCTCATCATTTCATCCAATCAGTTGCTATAGACATTGCTGTAATCAATTGACCAGATTTCACGAAGCTATAGTGGATAATACCAGCTGTACCACCAAACAGACACCATTAGCTTTTTTGGATGAATGTTCGGTTTTGGATTGTGTTTTGGCACATCATTTTTATCCAACCATGGTGCCGAATGCTTGCGATTGTCAAAAAGAATCAATTTTTTATCACATGTAACAATACAGTGCAGAAATTATTCACCTTTATGTTGTGACAGCAAAGAAGGACAAACTTCAAGACAGTTTCTCTTCTGATGTTCATTTAATTCATGCAGAACCCATCTATCCATCTTTTTTACCTTGCCAATGTGTTTCAGATGGTCCAATATTATTGGAATAGTAACCTCAAACCTTGCTGCTAATTCACATGTAGGTTGAGATGGATTTGCTTCCACTACAGATTTCAGCTCATCATTATCCACCTTGATCTCAGGTCACCCATGTGACTGGCTCATTTTCAAGATTAAAATCACCTTTCCTAGACAAATGTGTCTGAAGAAGTGGTTATCTTGAGCTGTAGACTCCAGAATTCTTTATCCCTGGAGGTGCTGGTCCTGGGACAGGAGGGGAAGTGGGAAGGGCATGGGACAGCTGCGTGAAGGGTTGTTATCCAAGAGAGTGGCAGCTCTTTCCCTCCTCTTCCTCATCAACTTTTCCGCACCTCCTTTCCTCTTCTCTGTGTCTCCCTCATCTCCACTTCTTTAACAGGGCAAATTTAGCTGTAACAGAAAAGGTTTTAAGTTGGACCTTGAATGAAGATTTTTACATTCTGGAACTCATTTCCAAGGGCTATTGTTGAACAATATTAGTGATTTTTGAGGGGAAAAAACCTTTCTTCAGGCATGATCTGAAGAATCCCACTTATAGACATGAGGTGGCAGAATTGATTTTCTTGATGATTCTTCCAGTCCTTGAATATTTAATTAACTTGCATTCATTATCCCAATCAACCAAATAATATTTATCCCTGTCTTGGATAAGAATTGGATAGAGGAGCTCCCTTTTCAGACGAATCTATTAGTTTAAAGTGTCAAGTGAACATCAGACAGTCACAGAGTCTAATTGTACTGATTTGACTTGGTTGTACCTGTCATGGACAATTGGATGGAAAGTAAGGATAGTATATTATGTGGGCTGCAGAGAAGCTATCTTCTGACTCTAGTTCATTCATTGTCTGCAGTTAGATTATTTACTTTAAATGCTGCCAAATGCATAGAATGCTTTTTTCCATGATCTATTTAAAGAGGAGGTAGATGTATGTGTGGGAAAACATGAAGAATTGTAACTCTGCTCTCCATGTGTGGTTACTAGGATTACGACTCTATTGTACACTTTCGACCTGTTCCTCTTCCCTTCCAAATGTAGTACGCTTCCTCAGAGTATTACACGTAGATTCACCCCTTTTTACATCTTCCTCTCTTTTTTATTTTAAGAAAAAAACATGGGATTATATAAGTTGGCCATCCTAGCCTAATCAGTTAAATCAGTTGGTAAGGTGTGTTGGCTAGGTAACTGTAGACACTGGACTAACTGCTCTCTTGATGCTTTTCTAGGATTCCAGGGACGATGTTGGTGGGGCTCAGAATGCCGGCATGCTGGGCATCTTAGTGAAAACTGGTATGTATCTTCTGTATAAGCCAACAGGATAGTTGAATACATAATTGCTTAAAGAACAGTGTTTTCAGAAATGGCAATGCCCTGGGTACTTTTATTCTTTTTCTGCCAGAAAAAGCAGAAGTAAAATGGGCTTGGGATAATAGGGAAAAAACACTGGGAGAGGGCCCATGCTATACAAAGTTAGGAAGATCAGGGCTCAGAGATGTTTTAACATTTACCCAGAGATAACCATTTACAGTTGACAGTTAGCATGTATATGATTTCCAGGATATACAATTCACCACATAGGAATGGAACAAAGGAGCATGTAAAAATACCTTTTATTTTTGTGCCAGCTGTAAGATGATGAAGTTGATCTCTTTAGGAACTGACTGGCTAAGTGATTTGATTCTTTGTGTTAATGTTTTGCATTTAAAAAAAAATAGAAAAAACTTTTTTCTTGTCTTTTCACTTATTGTTTTTAGTAATTAAAAGTTTAGGAAGTTATTTCCTGTACCAAAATTAGGGCTGCTCTGTATGGTCCCTTGAATAAATTTAGGGAAGGAGAAAGACCTCACTGGGGAGGATTCAGCTAGTTCAGTATTATGAGTACTATCAACTGGGTAAGTATCTTGGGGCCTAGTCGAAGCTCTGCACTGACTAGCTGTGGAAGACTCCGGTCACAACTCTTCCCCACTCTGGGCCCTGCAAGCATGACGGGGTTGGACCGATACCTTCTAGCCCTCCTAGTAACCCATGTGGAGTCCTTTCAATGTAAGGAAAGAACAAATATGGGAGCCATGAGTGGGGTTGACTACTGTTGCATTGAGAACTTAATGAGCTTTTTCATTTATCATGAAAAGGTCCCTGCCCTTCACCCCGCCTCCAAATGACCCCTGCTACATTTAGAATAGCACATGACAGCCAAAACTCTTGTCCAGTGATTGTCATAGGGCTCTTATAAATCCAATAGCAGATAAATATAGTTCCATAGATGTCTGTGTGAACTCATTTGCCTAGTTTCATATAACAGTAGTAAAACTATTAAACAGGCTGTTCACAAAAGGGAAGATTTAAATATAAAAGTCACAAAAGAGTTACTGCTGGGAAATTTTTTAGAAAAAGTGACTATGATGTTTGTTCAAGAAAGTATGGTTGCATAAAAGCTATTTTGACTTTAAAAACAGAAATAAGAATATGTAGTTGGAGCTACAATTGGATAAGAAGTATGTGGCAAAGCTCCCCATGAACAAAGACTGAAAACACTGTCTGCTTGGTCCTGGGACCTGGAGTGAACCATTGGAGCATTGCAGATACTGACCCCATCACTCTGGAATCAATGCAGTGTATTTTTTCTAATTTCTTAGTTGAAATGATCATCACCTTCCTAGGAACATTACAGCCCTGTGATAGAAGCATAAAATAGTCAAGAAAAACAGCCAGACTCCCTTATATCTTCATTTTCAAACTCTTGCCTTTTGCAATTTTATTTTCCGGTCATTGAAGACATCCTCAGATAACTATTTTTGCCCTTGTGTTTTATTCTTATGAACGTTTTCCTTCTTTAGCTCACATAAGTAAGGATTTATTAAGCAGCACAACAGGACCTGTGCCCATGTCCTGGTAGATCCAGCTCCCCCTGGCCGGTCTCCACCGGCTCCGCCTTCTCTTTGGATTGGTGGTTGGTTGTGACCAGCCTGTCACAGAGGCATCAGTTTAGTCTTAGAGAAGCCAATGGGATAATGCAATCAAATCCAAAATATGTAATTAGAAAAGCATCTAAGTCCAGCTCCTGAAAACAGGCACATTTATACAGTTGTTCTTTGGTGAGAAAAAGCATGAAGAAGCCCACTGTTCTAAAAGCATGCTGAACAGCCAGCACCATTGACAGATTGTAAACCCAGTAGAATTTGCTTCGTGGGCCATCCTGTGGACTTGAGAGTGCTCATGTGAGTGAGGCATGTGTTAATTACTTCTGTCCATTTGATGCGAGCGCCTTTCTGGTAAGAATTTATGGTCAGCAAGATGAGAGAGGAAGCATCTTCACCACAATGCAAAAGTATGGAAAATGGGGGTTTTCAGGCTTTGTGTTTGCTAGGCAAAGCCTCTTAAAGTGGTAGTTGTAGAAAATGGTGAGTCTGTTGTTAAGGGAGCTGGGTTTAGGCAGAGAAAACTGGAAAAAGCAGAAGAATAAATAGCAGAGATCACAGAAAAGGAGATGAGAGAGCAAGGAGAGAGGCAAAGTGCAGAGGCAGCCCTGGTGGCTCAGGGTGGGACCTGCCTTCTGCATGTCCTCTCTCTCTCCCTCCATTCCTTCATCCGATCTTTTAAAAAAAAATTATAGAATGCTTACTGTGTGCTAGTCACTGTGTTAGGTGCTAGGAGTACACTGGGGCACATAACATGCATAGTTCCTGCTCTCAGGGAACCTCCAGTCCTACATGTGAGACAGACGTTAAATGAATGCATAATTACAAATTGTTGTAAATGTTAAATCCAGGCAAAGAACAGGTGCTAGGAGAGTGAATAACAAGCAAGAGAGCTAATTTGGATGGAAGGTGGGTTCTGACCCAGAGCATTAAGGAGGTAGTCAGGTGAGGAGAATGTTCCAGGCCCAGGGAATGGCAGGTGTGAAGGCTCTCAAAGGAGCCAGGTCCAGTCTAGGTCTACAGCCTGGTGAGCAAGTAGCACAGGCTAAAGTTAGAGGGTTGCTGGGCCAGATGACAAAGGCAACAGTAGATATTTTGCCTTCTTTCTGAAGGGTATTGGGACCCATTAAGGGTGTTTAAATAGGTACCATGTGCCTTCTGATTTACATTTGCAGAAGCTCTCTGTGACCGCCGTGTGGATGATTCCTCTGCTGTGTTGGGGTGTTAAATTATATGCCAGGCGCTAGGAACAGCAGGCTGTCTTGAATTCAAGCGTTGGGGAGAGTTAGGCAGTGAGCCTGTCACATGGCACCTGCCTCGCGGCTCGTCCTGCCTGGCCCCAGCCTGTGAGCATCCATCACTCCTTCCCTCCCCGGCCCTGGGCGCTCATTTGCCAGGCTCCTCAGGCCTCTGCTTGGCAGCAGCACATGCTGTTCCCAGTCACCCTCGGGAGCTGACGAGGCCTCTGCCCTCTGGGGCCTGGGCTTCCATCTGAAAGCATGGATTTAATCACCAGTCTGTCTTTAGGGCTGAAGGTAGGGGCAAGAAAATGATCTCATCAACTATGAAGATTTGAAGGGAACTTTAGCTGTCAGGTGACCCCATACTTGTGACTGTACGTTGTGATGAGTGACCAAAGGGCCTGGGAAATGCTGAATGTGACATTTCTTCGAATTTTCTCATTGTACCCTAAAGCCTCAGTACAAGGTGCTCTGGGAGATGCAGAGCCCCTGGTTCTCCTGTAATCGTGAGGGTGGATCTGGGACGGCGCAGGTGCTCACCGGCTAGGATTCACTCGGCATTCTGGCGTAGCCTTTGTTCACTGGCTTTACTTTCATTTCAGGGAAATATCGAGCAGCAGATGAAGAAAAAATTAATCCACCTCCTTACTTAACTTGTGAGAGCTTTCCTCATGCTGTGGACCACATTCTGCAGCATCTACTGTGAACCATTATGTGCATCTGAAGCAACTTGAGACGCAGCTTTTTATTGTCTGGAATGAATCCCTTACCAACTCAATGCCAGCATCGACAGACACATACCACTCAGTGCTGATCGTGTTTTAACCCTCCTTTATTGTGCATTAATTAGAAAGAAAGGTATTAAATTGCAGCCAGCAACTAAGCCTCACTAATCCCTTTTGTTTTATTTTGTAATAGAAGATGAGATCCAAAGAAAGGGAAAGCTGAGATTTTGTGCCATCCCTTTTAAAATATTCATCAGGGTAGGCAGGCCTGGAAGGGAGACGCTACTACAGGGGCGAGTGTTCTCTGCTGTCTCCTCACTGGGAAACGGGCGGGGAGGGGGGAATTCAGACTGTGAGTAAAGTTGAATGGTGGTTTTTAAATTATAAAGTTATACATTAAAAGGTCCATTCGGCTGTAGTTTTAATATCAAGTTCAACTGTGAAATCCATCAGAAGTGCCAAGCAGAATATAAGACATAAGCAGCAAAGCGAATTGTCCTTTCGCCCAAGTGAGACAGTGAATTTGCTTTAACAGATGTTGAAAACTAGATTTTCTACTGTATTCCCAGCACGGGTGACTTCTTTTCTCTTCATTAGCCAGAGATGACTAATTTAAATTTAGAACCGGATTTTAATTTAAAATAATATTTCCATTAATAACCTATTCATTGCAGATACCTATTATACTGTGTAACAGTTGTTTTGGAAATTTTATGTAAAATTAAAACTATCAGTATTTTACAGATGTTTTAATTAGACATTGTTATTAACAGGAACAGTGCAGAAACTAAAATCAAGCCTTTAATGTCTTATAGACCATGCATTTTTGAAGTTAGGGTCCACCAGGGTCCTATTAACTGTACATTTGCAAGATTTCATTATTTTTGCCTCTGACACTCTGGGAAAAATCTTTTAGAAGCTATTGGGACAGATTCAAGCTTTTATGTACTTGGTTGCCACAGCTGTAAAATGAAATCTCGTCTTGGAGCATGGATTATTCTTCTCATGTTAAACCCACCAAAATGAAGGGGACTAAGTAGGTAATGATTTTCCTAGTGCATTTGCATACTGTGATAATCCTGGGCCTTCGCAATTGTTTCACAGGGCTCTTGGGCATTGAATTATTAGAATGTAATTGTACATGATTGTAGTGTTCACCTTATTGAAACTCACGCTGATGTTAATGAGCTTCGGGTTTTGATGCTTGTTTAGAGATCAGCTTGGTCTTAGATGGAAGGGAGGAAAGCTAAATAAATGGTAGTTTGGTGAGCACTCTGTTCTTGTTTTTGCAAATACCACAACATAGCACTTAATACTTCCTGGACTGTAAAAGACAGATGTGATATGACAAACACTCCAAATCAGAAGGATGAGTGGAGTAGCTAAGAGCAGAGACTATGGAGCCTACCCAATGCTTAACCAGCCCTGCGACCTTGGCCGCGTCACTTTGCCTCTCATGCCTTCTTTCCTTATCTGTAAAATCTCCATTTTACAGATGATAGTGCCCACCACATAGAGTTGGTGTGAACGTTAAATACGTGAACCCTGTATTCAGTACTTAGAATAGAATCAGGCAGATGGTCAGTGCTGTGTGTTGCTATGACAATGATGCAGATGTGGCAGGACTGTCCATGTTTAACAATCTGAAAAGGGTTGGTAAAATTTATCTCTGTAGTTATCTCAGTGGAGAAAGTCTTCCTGAGGAGTAAAGAAAAGAGATACTCTACTACATTTAGACTTCCTCAGGGCAAAGCCACATGGAGAAGCTCAGCACACAGCTCTGCGCGGCACCTGGTGGATGGGCTGTGCTCAACTTCGGCCTGTTTCCTGGGCACCCAAGTCAGTGATGCCTTGGACCAAGCATCATCAAGTGTTTGCTAGTAGCTGTGCACTGAGTGCCCCGATTAGTGTGGGAAATAGGCATATAAGAAAAGGACTTTGCCTTGAGGACCCTTTCTAGTTGAGGAGCTAAGGAGAGCACACAAGACATTAGTGAAGAACACTGTGAAGACCCAGCTCCAGTGTCCTCTCCTCTGAGGTCTTCCCTGACTGCAGGATGGAGCAGGGCATCCCCTCCTTCGTGCCCGCGTGGCACTGGTAGAGTGCACGTACATCTTCACCTGGCTCTTCCCCCCACTGGACAAGACTACATCTCATTCTTTTTTGTATCTGCTGCAACACAGGCACTCAGATGGCTACTGACCAATAACAACTAACTGTAAATGTTATAGGAATTTAATGCTAGAAAGCATAGCCGTGAGTAGGGAGTAGAAACTCTTTCATTTTAGACTTGTTGCCTTAAAGATGCCTATAGGGGAGGCCCCATTAGACACTGGGAAGTAACGGATCTGGTGCTCTGGAGGCAGGTTAGAGCTAAAGCAAAGAAGTGGACACGACTGATGAGTCAGGGAGTCAGCAGGGTAACAGGAGTGCGTATGGTCTGAGCATACTGTACCCAGGCAGGAGAAACAGTTCTCTCCTTTCCTCCATTCTACTTTGTCCCTGTGGGCCATGAAAATCTTTGAGATATTAAGTTAACAAACATGCAGGGGTTGCTAACTGACCTGTCCACAGAGAGATTCATGAGAATAACTAAAATTCTTGATTTAGGTCAAGTTGCTACAAACATCCCAATCAATGTTAGTTGTGGCTGGTTAGTGTGCCTTGGGCCTCACGGTGGGTATTTATTTAGTAACTGAAGTATCTCAAAGGCCTCATTTTCCAGCCATCCCACTTAAAGGGCTATCTTGTGGGTATTAACCTCAAGAGCAACGTTTATATCAGATTTACTGTAATCCTGCTGTGGGTCAGAAAAGGGACCAGAAAGGTTATTAGGGAACACCCACTGTGAGGAGTTGGGTGTCTCCCGTCTGCTGGGAGCCGGGCACGTGAGCAGCATGGAGGAGGGCAAAGCCGATGCAGGGGAGGACGGACAGTGGTCCCACCCACTTCACTCACGCCTCCAGAGTCAGCCACGGGCTTGCAGGCGCCCTACCTACCAGCATTCAGCATCTTTGACAGCTGGTCGCAATGGCCGGGAGAGCAAAAGGAGGCTAGCCCGCCTCACTCTAAGTGACGGTTCCACCAAACCGTACCTATAGCTGCTGTAATGTCAGGATTTCCCTTGGAATGATGGTGTCTGTCACTTCACCCTTAATCTCAACATTTTAAAACTTACAGTAGCATGTTGGACAGGGAAGTTAAGAACACGCCTACACTGATTATGTAGGTTTTGGATCAATGGTTGTCCATGTATTAATAGAGTAAAACTGAAGTCCTCAAGCACTTTGAAAACTGTACTAATCTGTTTCACTAATTGTTTGCGTAGGGCCATGTTTGCATTATCATGTTTATGTGACATAAGTCACAAAAGCTTTTTTTCGGTATAAATGCACGAGGCTTTTGCTTGCTTTTGGATCATACCCGCCATCAGTGCTTCCTATCCCAAAGCACGTTGCTATCTTTAACCACTTCGGTACAAGCATCGACTATAGTCGACAGCCACAGATGAACGCGCACAGCCAAGTGTCGACTTTAGCCAACAGCCGTGATACGACTTTTCTAATTTTTCATTTATCAAAATAAAATTGTGAACATTTAAAAATAATGTAATGGAAACATATATGAATATGTTACCTATTGTGATTTACATTACAAGTAAAGCTGCCTGTAAAGTCAAACAAGCTTTCAGTGCTTTAAAGCTTTCCTCATCACACAAGAGCAAAACGGATTCGTCGTCAATGCACAGCACACACTATCCTGCGGACTGTGAGTGCCGGCTGTGGGCACGGCTTCACGGCCAGTGAGCGCCGTGCTGAAGGAGCAGTAACAAGGTGTCAGGGCACCAGAAATCATTTGGCATAGTGCAAACTGCATAACTCTTAAAATCAAACAGTTTTGAATACCTTACTTTTTCCAGTGCTTACCTGTCATACACAGCTCAACTCCTGTTTGTTTCACTGGCTGATGTGCCTGAGAAAATTAGATATTTATTAAATACCCCCTGTAGGTAAAGCAGGAAGACAGAGCCGAATGTAGCTCTTGCTCCTACGATGCGTATCTTCGAGTTAGGGAATTGAAGCATGCAAAAATATATCTAACAACACAAAGTGCTCCAACAAGTTCAAAATGGCAAGTCCTCTCTCTAAGAGAAGAGACCATGTGCAGAGAGCTAATTCATGCGTGGAAATAGTAGTCACAACTGAAGAGTCTGAAGCACATGCAGCTCTCAGCTAGCCTGTGACCTCCTATGCCATTTTAAATGTTTCATTCATTCAATAGCAGTGGGGAAAAGTACCACAATCTTGGAGCCTACATTTGAGGAAGGTAAACAAGCAACGAAACACGTGCATATACACACAACTACCTAATGCAGTGAGAGAGACCGATAAGCGATGGGGAAGAATATAGCTAATGGGGATGCACGTGGTCTTCGGGTAAGTGTGGGTGGTCAGAAAAGGCTTCTGCAGGTGAGCTGAAGGAGTGGGAACAGGCCGTGTGGACTCTACAGGCAGATCATTAACCTTAGTGACCAACACCTGAACATCAGGAGATTGAAATGCAAATCAATCACTGGGTTTTCTAGGAGGATTGGAGGAGCTGGCAATGGCAGGAGCAAATTTCCATGCTCAGCTGGAGCCGAGTCACTGCTGTGTCCTTCAGAGGGTCTCCGGCCCACTCCAGTTCACCACAGTTCCCACCTCTGCCTTGCCTTACACCCAGCTTGCTTCACTCATTTGCTCCTGTAGGCCTCTGTCACCTCTGCTTTAGAAGAAAATACCTCTTGATGGGTTAAATCTTCCTCCAACAACTACCAGACCAATCTCCTATATAAACTTATACATACTTTAACTTGTAAAAAATAACCATAGAGACTCTAAACATAGGAGCTATATCCTATGTTAGTTGGTCTCTTTTTCCGAAAGCCCCACTAAAATAAGAGTAAAGGAATAAAGGGATAAGCCGTAAGGGACAGCTCACAAAGAATGGTGGAGGAGACACCAGTGGATGGAAAGATACAATAATTCGGGAGGTGGAAAATGGATGGAATGTTGCTAACCAAAATCAGTGCAAAGAAAATACAACCAAATTCATCCTCAAGGCTTGGAGGTAGCAGGCAGAAAGGAAGTGAGGCACAAGGCAGGGTTGAAAAGCAAGGAACTGGTTAAAAGTTGAAGCCTCAGAAACTCTCCCTACCCTGGGCACCAGATGATCATGGCTAGCCAAGGCAAGAGAATGGGGTTTTTCCATTGTTCTCTGGAAAATGGAACCATGGAATTAAGGTCTCAAGTAGAGTAGGCATGCTGGTGGGCCAGGGTGAGACACAGGACTGGGAACAGGAATTGGGTGTAGATCCACTCATTCTACAGCAGGGACCAGCTCCTCTGGTCCCTGCTCCCTTGAAACACGAGGACCAGAGTGGGGTGGGAGGGAATTGAAAGCTTATCTGCTATGTTTGGCTGTTTAGTAAAGAATACTGATGGGCATCTGGCAGGTCTAAGATACCACTGCAGAATCTAGTATCTAATGCTCATGAAGAAGTTTAAGTTTAGCATAAACTGAAATGTATTTTATTTGCAATCCGTCATATAAGATATATTTTCAGTTTGACTACAATTTCCATGAAATGACATTTTAAGAGGCATTTGAGAATAATCCACTCAAAAATCAATACCAAAAAAAAAAAAAAAAAGAGGCTTGCATTGTGCTTAAAAGGGTAAAATCCTTTGGAATACTTAGCTATCCAAAATGCCTCTTTTCCTGAGAGTTTTTCCTCTCTGGAGGAATCTGCCTGCAGAGATGGAGAAAATGAGGCAAGGAAAAGAAAAGAAAATGTCCCGTAGATAAATCCAGTGTGGGAGAGAAGTGGCAGCACTTAGTGGAAGCCTTCGAAGTTTATCAGGAGTTGAAAGTAGATGCCTCGGATTGTGGGTTTCGGGGAGAGATGCTTCTAAGCTGCTTATAACCCCATAAGGAGAAGGGGAGGAACCTAAGCAGGGAAGGCTGAGAACGAATGTTCTAGAAGCTCGGGTGCCCCATCCTAAGCTATGGGTGTTTAGAGTCTGAAGTGAATACAGCGTTCGGATAGCCTCAGATAGATAGAGAAGGAAAGAGAAAGGCAGCGAACGCTGAATGTGAGATGTGAGAAGTGTCAAAAGTTGCTACTGAGGACCAGAACTCAAAGCACACAGACCGGTAGCGGGTGATGATGGTGTGTAGTCACCCCTGCTGTTAGCTCTAGAATAGAAACAGTGACATTTCCAAGCGAGGCTAGTTTGGTCGGGGGTTTGCAGAAGCTGCTTGGGGCCAGAATTAGGGGAGTGGATGAGACTCGGAATGAGAAAGGCGGACACATTTCCCACTCTGCGCCGGCCCTTGCCCACCCTCGAGCTGTCGGCTGGTCACATGGTCTGTCAGGCTTAGCTGCTGTCGGCGGCCCCAAGTCCGACCCGTCCCGTGCAAGGCCAACACAACTTTTCCTCTAAAGTTCACAAACGAGGAACATCACAGGAAATTGTTCATGAAGATTTTATAGAATCTAATTGTGAGAAAAATCTCCATTGCATGACCTAATCGCACATATATATATGTAGTTGAAATCTTCTATATTTTGCTGACATCAATAATGGCAAATTAATGAAAACACGTCAGAGTCCCAAAACAATACAGTTGTCGAAATTAATCCAGTCTTCAAGAATAATAATTTTCTCTTTTCCATTCCAATCGTTATGTTCTTTTCTCACTTACGCTAATAAATTAGGAGGCTTCTGTGGTGGTCTTTGTGGCCAGGTCACGGTAAATGTGATCTCAAACCGACTCAAACTCTCTCTGCCAGGCTGAGTATTTCTGAGTCATGTTCCTTGCGGAGGGTTTGGTGTGAGCTAGCACATCCAAAAAGTCGGCAGTGGTCACTGTATCCAACTGGATCCCAGATAAATTGCTGCTCTCTAGGTAAAAACACAACAGTAACAGCACAACAATCGACCTCTTGGTGATCAATGCTCTTGTAACAGTAATAGACCTTCTTTCAAGACAATGCATAATGCAGCATTCTTAATGGTTAACGCAGCGAAAGGCAAGACTATAAAGAGGGCCAGGGAAGAAATTCTTTAATGTGAAACTGAGTTAGCCCCTAAAGGCCAGACCAAAAAAAAAAAAAAATGTGACTTAAATGTATCATTATCAAAGTATTATTTAATATTTATATAGTGCTTCAGATGGATCTAGCCCAACATCAGAGTGTGCCAGAGAAATAAAAGCCTGAGCCCTAAGGAGTTTATCATCTGCGAGCAAAGTCGATCCAACACAGAACACCAAAGGAGGGATGAGTTGAGCCCAGCAGGGATGATCTGACCAAAGAACACGTGTTGCAAGTGTAAAGAGCTGCCAAGAACGGGCTCCGGGCGCCATCTGCTGGTGAGAGTTGGCCTTTTCAACACAACTTTCTCTCCCAGAGCACTTTTGCGGTGTGATCCCAACCATACCTGACTCCTGATTTTCAAGCTTATTGAAGATCTTCCTCACCGGCCGCATGGCTGCCTCCCTGCACACCAGCTTAATGTCTGAGCCCGAGTAGCCCTCAGTCTCCTGAAACAGCCACAAACCCAGCTGGTCAGCAGGCAGAACGCTGGTGGCCATTACAGTCTTATAGGCAGGACCCAGCATGAGAAGCCCTGTTTAGATTCCGTATCTGTCACCCATGAACACTAGACAAAGATTCACAGACGGACAGTGCTTGGGGAAGAATGCTGCAAACATGTTTGGATAATTTAAGTAGCTGGGCAGAAAAGCAACTTCTTAACACACTGGCCCACCCAAGTTAGCCTACTGGGGAGCTTGTGCTCAGATCCAAGGATGATCAAATTTGGGAGGCACTTTTGTTCTTATAACTAAGATCATACCTGCCCTTGAGGAAACTCAGAGAACATCACGTTCAAGTGTTCGCCCAAAGCAGGCAATGATTCTACAACTCTCTGGGAATGGACCCAGTGATAGTGGGGAAACAAGCATGTACCTAGAGCTTTTCTGCTTGTGAAACATTTTCATTTAATCATTACAATAATCCTTAGGGTCTGCTACCCATTTTACAGATGGAGACGCTGAGGCTCAGAGAGTAAGTGACTTCCCTGTGGTCACACAGCTAACAAACAGCAGGGCCAGGATTTGACCATAGGTTCTCTGAGTCTAAACCCTATGCTAGTTCTATGCCCTCACATTGTTATTCCCTGCTTGAATGTTTCCAAGTGACAAAGAACAAAGAGCTCATTCTTCCAGGAGGAAGAGCCCTCTGCATTGCTGGGGCAGCTTGGGTCCGTTCTAAGTGTCTCAAGCTCCTACCGGCTCATGGTAAGACCCTGTCTAGAAGACGGTCATACAGTGGCCCCTCGGCCTGTGCGCTCTCCCTTCCAGGGCAGCCCACCTGGCTCAGCACGCTGTAATCCAGCTCTGTGCGCAGCTCCAGGGCTGTGCTTTTGCTCGCAGGGGGCAGCCAGTGGCGGATCATGGCCTGCCTGGCTTCCCGGCAGGGGAGGCCAACCAGAATCCTCTTCTCCAGGCGGCGTAACATGGCGCAGTCCAGCTCCCTGAAACCACATCAGAAGCAGAGCTGGGTGGGGCAGCAAACACACTTCTTAAGCACCAACTATATTTAAGAACAGTTTAGTGTTGCAGGAAGCAATTCTGCATTTTAGCTACCACTCCACATCTATGCCTGAGTTGATGGGACAATTATTTCATCTTGTTTGGAGAAAGAATTGGTATAAGAAAAAGAAAGAAAAGAAAAGAGAGGGAGGAAAGAAAAAGGAGACAGGGAAAGAAAAGAAAGAAAGAAAGAAAGAAAGAAAGAAAGAAAGAAAGAAAGAAAGAGAAAGGAAAGAAGAAAGAAGGAAGGAAGGAAGGAAGAAGGAAGGAAGGAAGGAAGGAAGGAAGGAAGGAAGGAAGGAAGGAAGGAGGAAGGAAGGAAGAGGAAAAAAGGAAAGAGGAAGGGGAAGGGGAAGGGAAGGAAAGGGAAGGGAAGGGAAGGAAGGAAGGAAGGGAAGGGAAGGAAAGGAAAGGAAAGGAAGAGGAAAGGAAAGGAAAGGAAAGGAAAGGAAAGGAAAGGAAGGAAAGGAAAGAAAGGAAAGAAGGAAAGGAAAGGAAGGAAGGAAGGAAGGAAGGAAGGAAGGAAGGAAGGAAGGAAGGAAGGAAGGAAGGAAGGAGAAAGAAAGGAAAAGAAAATACACTCAAGAAAGAAAGAAAGAAAGATACCCCCAAAACTTTACATGCAAATGAGGTAATTTTAGGTGACTTTAATGTGGGGGGAAACCCAACTAACAACCTCCCAACATGAGTATTGTCATTGCGGTTGTAACATGAATTATTCAATCTCATCTTTCCAGTGAGTAAATTTTCCTGACAATAACTTGGTCACTCTGTAAGTACATTGACTCTTCCCAAACTCTCATTCATTCCATTACACAGGAGGACTCCAGGCCAGTGCACTTCCTGGGTGCCCAGTGTAAACGTGGCCCTCTGAGACACTCACTCCTACTCCTTCCAAAACCGTCAGGCCAGCTTTATGCAATTTTATATCTGCAGGCCACTTCCCTAAACTTCTTAATATAAAGCTTTCAAACAAATAGAAAAGTAAAATAAAAGAGTTGAACATCCATATCTTGATTCAATACCAGTTAACATTTTGCCACATCTTTTCTTGGCAAGTAGTAAGTATTCTACGCATGTTACTTTGGCACCATGTGAATATCCAGTTCCCCACCCCTTTCAACTAGTGGTTTCAGCATCTGTTAATGATCTTGGTCTGAATCAATTATTTCACGAGAGGTTGCAAATGGTGAATTTGGGATATTTTCAGATTTTTCATTCTAAAGGTATTTGGAATTATTACAGAATTATATGGTACAGCTTTCCTTCATCAACTGAGGCTATTTGGTCTCTCTGAATTGCCATTCCTATTATCAATACATCATTTTGAGTGTGAGTCTGTAAATTCTTTATGTGTTAAAATTTCAAGCTCCTAGAGGGGAGGGAAACATCGGTTTGATTTTCTAGAATAGAAATTAGGAAATGACTATGTTTGGCCCGGCTTAACCACTGATGGAGGGTAACAGTGAAAGCGTCATCCCTGGATAGTTCTCATTCATAAAGACACTGAGAACGTCCGAGGTGTCCTCCCATTCTTCTTACTCTCAGTCTGAATCTATATTATGGTATTTCCTTTTAAACTTAAAAAACATACTTCCAGGGAGCATATATGAATCCAAAATTGGAGTGACCGAATTTCTTTAAAGATTGTGTCTTTTCTTCACCTCTTATTCCTCTAACCCTGAGCTGAGAATTTGAGGTCCAGGGCTGCCTCCCCGGCAGGAACAGTTATTTGCTTTGTTCTTTATCAGTCTCACCCTGTTGAAATTCATCTCACAGCAGAGACTCAGCCACCTCTTCCCTTGTACAATCATTCTCCCTTTCAAGGCCAACATTTGTATTCAAGGCACAAGGTCAAGGAAACGAGAAAACCATGCTTCACAACAGAACTTTACCCAGCACTCCAGTCCACGCTGTGCCCATCTTTGCTTCCAGTGGCTTCTCCTCGCTCACACACCCATTGCAATAACATGCAGCCAGCAGGCACCAGTAACGATGCCACGTGTTTTGATTGGTCAGTGCTTATACCACACAGGTTGTTTAGTATTTTGAATATCACCCTTGCACTTAAGCCAAAAACATATATTGTCCTTCATGCTCAAGGACGTTCCAACAGAACGCTGCCTGTGTTATTAAGGTTGAAATAAAAACACTTCATTGCTGATGGACTTTAAATTAACTAAGACTGCACTTAAACTTGGGCGTGAACGCAATCACCTCTGTTTCCCCCTGAAACCCACTAAAACAACATTGAAGGCATTTTTAAGGGCATAAACCTACAAAAGCAAAGAGAATAGGAGAAGAACTGATAGAAACAAAAATTATACGTGTTATTAATTAGAACTAATGATGATGATAAAATGCTGACTTTCAACAAGGCAGATTCCCCTTCATAAATAACTCCAGGATTTTAAGGAAGGAAGCAGGCCATTTAACCTGAGGCCAGTGGCCCTGCTCCTAAAGTCCGTTCATCTTGCAGGTGGTATTTGCCGAGTACCCATTGAGTATTCTGCAGGATAGAGGAGAGGGAATCCAAGACATGTGGCCCATAATCCGTGGCCCCTGGAAACTGGTAACTGATGGGACAGGTGATGGGATGTGAACACAGATAACTATGAGGTGGGGATAAAGCCCCAGATGTGTGTCCCTCATCTCCAAAAAGCTGGAAAGCATAATGATGAGTAAAAACTAACTTTTCAGACCTGAGAAGCTGCTCTAAATTGTCAGTAAGGAAAGCCAAGAAACAATCTGATTTGAATCACAGAATCCCCAAGAGATGTGGAATTGGCAGTATCTCACAATTTTAGAAGTGAGGTGAAGGTAGGTTGAAAATAAGGGGGCTGGTTGACAGTTTGTGTAAGAAACAGCTAGATCACAGGTTACTTTCCCACCTCCGATAGATAGCAAGGGAACTGCCTCTCCCATTCCCAAGCAGAGGGTAAAATAGATGGTCTCCAGGCTGGGAAACATCATGCACAGTTGAGAGCAGTGTACCGTATAGAAGCAATGAGTTGAACTACCTCTAGAATATTGGCAGCCAAACTCTTACCCTCCAGGCAGGAGATTGCAAGAATCTTCACTTGGAAATCTGACCAAAGAGAAAGACCTAAGGACATTGATGTCGGGAGTTCCTAACACAATATCCTTGGCAAATCTCTATACATGGAGCCACAGTTGACAAGCTTTTCCTACACACCCAGAGCTTCCCATGAGTTTTTTTAGGGTGCCCCTCATACACATTATTAGCAAGCAGCCAAGGACACCTACATTTATGGAACACCTGTAACACGAAGACAGAGTCCAAAACAAGTAAAGGGGTAAAAAAAATAAAAAGAATCTTCAAGAAAATAAGATTCTACAGGGAAATGAAACTTCAAAAAATTAGTGTTCTCAGAGATAAGAAAATATTGTCATACAACAAGAGTCTCTTAGTCCATATTGTGCTGCTGTAGCAAAATGCCTGAGATTGGGTAATTTACAAAGAACAGAATTTAGTCCTCATGGTTATGGAAGCTGGGAGTCCAAGATCAAGGCATCAGCAGGTTTAGTGTCCAGTGAGAGCCTGGTCTCTGCTTCTAAGATGGTGCATCCTCCAGAGGGGAAGAACACTGTTGTACTCATATGATGGAAGGCACAAGGCAAAAGAGAGAGACCAAAATCCCTCTATCGAGCCCTTTTATAATGACATTAATCTATTCATGAGGGTGGAGCCCATGTGACCGAAACATCTCCCAAAGTCTTCACCACCCAACACTGTTGTCTTGGGAATTAAGTTTCCAAATCATGAAATTTAGGGGACGCATTCAGACCCTAGCAAATAGAATGCCATTTAAAAAGAACATTCAGGGAAAAACAACAAGACACAATAACTTGGGAATACAAAATATGATAGAAGAAATAGAAAACACAATGGAAAATTCAGAAGGTAAAGCTGAGGAAATCTCCCATAGAGTAGGACAAGAAAGAAACAAACACAGAAAACAAGAAATTCAAAAAGAGAAAGAGAAAAAAAATTTTAAAGGAGAACATTATTATAGGAGAACCAACATACAAATAATAGGAGTTCTAGAAAAAGAGTATAGAGAAAATAGAGAGGAGGATATCAAAGAAATAATTCAAGGAAACTTTCTAGAACTCTAGGAAATGATTTTCTGTATTTGAAATATTCATAAAAGCTAATGATTAGTACTTACTAAGTGGCAGACACTATCTCAAGCATTTTACAGACATTAATTCATTTAATTCTCACAATAACCTTACGAGGTAGGTATGAGGATTTTAACTCAGTGAGTCTCTGGAGCCTGTGGCACAGTTGACTGCAAGTGGATTCCCAAGTCACATCATGGTGAAACTTCAGAACCCAGAGAGCAAAGAAAGGATCATAAAAGCTTCTCGAGAGAAAAAACAGGTTATATAAACAATAAGACTTCCCAATAGCAATGCAGGATATTAAAAGAAAATAGAACAATGCCTTCAAAATTCTGAGAAAAAAATAATTTCCAATGTAGAAATCTCATGATCAAACCATCAATTAAGTGGGAGGACAGAATAAAGATATTTTCAACCTACAAAGCCTAAGAAAAATGTATCTCCCACATACCATTTACTAGGAAAATCCTGAAGGACTCTCTCCAAAGGGAGAGAGTAAGCCAAACCAAAGGACTATAAGGAATTCTAGAAACAGAGGGTCTGACAAGAAAGAGAAGGAATCTTCAGGATGAAGAGGTGAGATCCAGGGTTCCTCCGTATACTGGGTACAGAGGATAATCTGTTCACTTTGAAGCTGGTAAGAAGGTTGGAAGACACATCTCCAAGAAGATGAAATTGAAAGAATACCTGGTATGTCTAATGTGTCAAGAGCCAATCCAGACAGTTGGCAGAGAGAAGAAAAGGAAAGAGAGGAGGGGCAGATCTTTTAACAGGAAGTAAAACCATTAAACTG